TTTCTTGGAAATAAAGATTCACCATCTCTTAATGTTGTTCAGTTTTATTGCAATTCTTGCAGGCATGATAAAAGTAAAACTCTGCCTTTTCCCATTCACACACCACACATAGTCTAACCTTTTGATTTGATACATAGTGATGTGTGAGGTATGACACTAGTCATGCTAATTACAAATACTTTGTCACTTTTATTGACGACTATAGCCGTTTCATATGAATTTATTTTCTTCATTCTAAAGATGAAGTTTTTTTTTCTATTTTTAAGATTTTTCATGCACATATCTAAACCCAATTTTCAGCCCAAATCAAAATCCTTCATTCTAATAATAAGGGTGAGTGTATATCTCATTTGTTTCTAGACTTCTTACAGCATCATGGCATCATTTCTCAACAGTCTTGCCCTTTGGCACCTCAATAAAATGGGGTGGCTAAAAGAAAGAATCACCATCTTCTTGATGTTGTTCATAACTCTCTTATTAAAGTCATCTACACCTTCTTGTTTTTTGTGTGAAGCTCTCTCCATTATTGTCCACCTCATCAACAGATTGCCTTTCCCCATATTAAACCACGACACTCTTTTCATTAGGTTGTTTGGTCATCCTCCAACTTATTTCAACCTTCATACCTTTGGTTGTGTTTGTTATGTTCATCTTCCTGCACATGAACGCACAAAACTCACGACTCAGTCAATTCATTGTGCTTTCCTAGGATATTCAGTACACTGAAAAGGTTTTCATTGTTATAACCCAAATGTGCATCACATTTGAATTTCTAGAAATGTGATCTTTTTAGAAAACCATTAATTCTTTTCCATACATCAAGATCATGTTCCTCCTTTCTTTTCTGTTTTGCCTATGTTTACTAACTCTTCTACAACTCCAGTCCCTTCTAAGACTCTCATAGTATATCAAATACGCTTATCTGCTACTTCTTACCAGCCTTCAGACCCTCTCAAACCCCTCAAGTTCATTCCTCGACTGTTGTTCCTATTCCAGCAACTACAACTCCCTCTCAACAACAAAATACTCGGGTTTGTAGACCTTCCAATAGGTATGATTACTATCCTCCCTCATCCTTCACAGCCACCTTGTCTTCTACTTTTCTTCCTTTATCTTATAAACAGGCAATAGAGCATGAGTGTTGGCAAAAAGCTATTGAAACTGAACTTCTCGCACTTGAAAAAAACCAAACCTGGGATGTTGTTCTATGTCCTTCATTTGTGCATTCCTTTAGCAGTAAATTTATGTTTTCTATCAAGCATCGTTCTAATAGGTCCATAAATCGTTACAAGGCTTTGTTAGTGGCACTTTGCAACAAACAGGAATATGGTCTTGATTATAATGAGACCTTCACACCAGTCGTCAAAATAACCATTGTTTGAACTATACTCGCCCTTATTATATCTCAATCCTAGCCCTTACATCAAATGGATGTCTAGAATGTCGTCCTTCATGGTGATCTCAAAGAAGATGTTTACCTGAAACTTCCTTTTTGTATGTCCACTTCCTCATCTAATGATGTTTGCAAATTGAAATGTTCTTTGTATGGTTTAAAGCAAGCACCGAGAATATGGTTTGACAAGTTTTGATCCACGTTGCTAGGTTTCTCCTTCACTTAGAGTTAGTATGACTCCTCTCTTTTTCTACAAAAGACATTCATGGGTATCGTTGTCCTCCTTGTTTATATGGACAATATTGTCATCACTAACTTTGACTTGGAGGCAATCTCTATAATTCAACTTTGTTGCATTCTACGTTCCATATGAAAGACCTTGGTCAGCTCACCTATTTCTTGGGCTTGGAAGTGCATCATCAACCTCACGGTCTTTTCCTACATCAGCACAAGTATAGTCAAGAACTAGTTTAATTAGTCGACCTTACCAATACTACTTCAATTGACACCCCCATGGAACTTAATGTGAAATATCGTCATAATGAAAGGAAGCTTTTTGATGATCCTACTACCTATCAAAAGGTAGTTGGTAATCTTATCTATCTAACTATTACTTGACCAGACATTTCTTATGTTATTCACACTATCAACAAATTCATGCAAGCATTAAGGCAGCTTTATATATCTACTGTCCGTCGTATAATTCGTTACATTCTTGGTACACCTAGTCGTGGCTTATTCTTCCCTACAAGTTCTTCACTTCAACTACAAATCTATAATGATGTTGATTGGGCCGGTTTTCTAGATACCAGGAAATCTACTACCGGCTGGTGTATGTTTCTTAGTGATATCCTTATGTCATGGAAATCCAAGAAACAGGACCATATCTCTAAATCATCTACTGAAGCAGAGTACCGAGTCATGTCTGCTACTTGCTTTGAGATTATTTGGCTAAGTGGTCTTTTTACAGAACTCAGTTTCTATCCAGTTCATCCAACTCCACTTCATATTAACAACACTAATGTCATCCAAATTACAACTAACCTTGTCTATCTTGAATGCACTAAGCACATTGAGGTTAACTATCACTCAATCAGGGAAGCATATAATCATAAGATTATCACCCTTCGACATATCTCCTCCACTCTGCAGATCACAAATATCTTCAACAAATCCAAGCCCCGTCAGTAGCCATCATTTCCTTACTAGCAAATTGATGCTTATCGATTTACCAACATCAATTTGAGGGGGGATGTCAAAGGAAATACCTATATATTTAATGTCAGTAGATTCTTTGCCTATTTGTTCTTTTCTTTATTGGGATATACTAGCTGTAGGTTTTTCCAAGAGCTGAAGATCAGCCTATATTATTTCCTGTATCAGCTTGTATTATTTCGTGTTGTATTTTTTTCCTTTCTTAGCTTGTAAATTCTACCTATATAATGGATAATTCTCAATGAAAAAACATACAATTTTATTCAAAAGACCCTAAATTGTTAATCTCCCCCACATTCCTTTCTTTCACATTTGATAAATAGTGAAGATTTTTTTATGAGGTTAATGCCAACAAAAGGCTTCATGAGGTTGATCCAAAACTTCATGGTGATGATGCTCATTGTTGTCATGGCTTTCATAAGAAATGCCATGGGCCAAGCCCCTAGCACCAAAAAACCAGACACAGTCTGCTTTTCAAATTTATTGCAATCAAATCATGTTGTGGCGTAGGTGAAGTTGAACCTTAGGTTCCTTATATTCATATCTCTCTCTCTCTAGCGTTGTTACTTGTAATTTTAGAGAACCAATTGATAATTATTAAGAAGTGTGGTGTAAGAAAATATTATTTTATTATTTTGGGTGTTTAAGAGGTTATTTCGGAGTATAGTAGTGATTGGTTGTTTTTTAAAATATTTTTTATTTGAAAATATATTAAAATAATATTTTTTTTAATTTTTTAAAATTTATTTTTAACACTAACACATTAAAATCAAAATAATCTAAAATAAATAAATATTTTTTATGAAATGTTGTTTGGAAAGCGTTCTTAAATAACACCTAAGTAAAACACCAATTAACCATACATTAATGTTCAAGCTCCTGGATTTTTTTAATTGTTTGGCCAATTACTTCCTACAATATTATATCTTTTCTAATTGAACTTTAAACAGATTGATCATATTTAGATTGGTGCAAACATAGAAAGAAAATAAAACATGTATGCATAATATGCAAAGAAATGACATTGTTTTAAATTGAAACCAGTATTTTTAAACTCAGCCCAGTAGTCAAACCGGTCCAAGACCTGGGTCTCAGGTTTTGACTAGGTCACTCGGGTAATTTTTTAATTTTTTTATACATCAAAATGAGGCCATTTTAGTTATAAAAAAAAAGTCAATGGGTTACAACCAGTTTTTTACCAAGTCTTGCGAGGTTAATCCACCGGGTCAATCGAGTTTTGAACTTTTTTTATTTTTTCACAAACTCAGCACGGTTCCAGCCCTGGGTTAGTCGAGTCCCGAGTCAATCCGCTAAGCCTAGTCGACTTTTAAAACTATGATTGAAACAACAACTTATTGATAAACATAGGTCAAATTCCACTAGTGTGGAACCCTTCTAGACCACCAATTTTACCATGACTATCCTCAACAAGACAAAAGGCAAATTTTGGGAAATAATTCAAAAATAGATTATGATAATTGTTGCACGTCCCCCGGAGCGGCTATTCGGCAATTTTTCGTTATGTTTCCTTGATTGGTTCTTGGGAGTCGCCACCTAGTATTTAATGGAGGGTTACTAGGAAATCCAGATGTACTGGTCGTTTTCAGAGATTCGAGGGGTAAAAGACTAGTTGTGGCTAGAGAAGGTTTCAGAGATTCTAGGGGTAAAAGACTAGTTGTGGCTAGGGAAGGCATTAGCACCTCTAGCACACCCTACCTGAGGTAAGCTATTTTGCGGTTTGATGTGATTTAAAATTTTGAAATATTAATCAAATTCTAAGGTTTTAATAAATCAGTTATTAAATCCCAGAATGTATGTAGAAACATGTTCTTACATTTTCATGGAAAATATAACATGATTTTATTTGTCCTTGAGATATTTGACCATATTCAAATTAAACAATTAATTTTTTTTTGTCTTTTTGTAATTCAATTACATAAATAAATAAAAATACAAACACACACATTCCTTTTACTATATTTTTCTTTTTTTCCTTTTTCTTTTTTTTTTCCTTTACATCCCCATTTACATATTACAAAATAACAAGAATTCAAAATAAATGTAATCTAAAAACACCTATCAACGTCCGAAAATTACAAAAGAAAGCCTCGAGAACAGTGTTGGGAGGTTTCTATGCATGGGAACACTAGCGGCGCGTCTTTCCCACGCGCCACCACCACTAGCGACGCGTGGATCCACGTGCCGGCAAAAAATTCCATGCAGCTGGGTGAGCCCGGCTCAGCTTTTTTTCCTCTTCCCTTCCCTTTCCTACTGGTGGTGACCTGCCAAACATCCAAAAAACGCAGCAAACAGTCTGTTTCAGTTTTGTCTTTTCTTCTCAGATCTGATTCCTTCAGGTTTGTCATGGTTCGTTGCCCGAGAGTTCATCCCTTGGAGCACATCTTGTTGTAAGGCATTGTCGGCGCTGATGGAGGCTGGATCTCGGTCCAGATCTGCTGCATGAGTTAGAGTCGAAGGAGAGCCAGTTAGAGGCTGGATCTCGGTCCAGATCTGCTACATGAGTTAGAGTCGAAGGAGAGCCAGTTGCTGAAGGGTTTGCTGGTAGTAGATTCTGCCGGCGTTCGGCGAGCTGGCTGTTGGTTCAGGAGGAAAGAGCTGAGGGAGACCGCGGCTGAGGGCAGAAGGAGCCAAAACAGAGAAGGAAAATGGAGGTTATGGCCGAGGGAGAGGTTGATATGGCTGTGGCCTTGGCCAAGGGAAATGGGAAGCTTTGGGAGGCGACTTGGTTTTCAGAGGGAAAGGTCCAACCGCTGGTTTGGCCTAGGCAGAAGCCAAAACGCGGATGGTGGCTCTGGTGAGGCCAAGAGAGAAGATGACAAGGAGATAGGGGGAATACAGAAGTGGCTGCTTTGAAAAACAAATGAAAGCTTGGGTTTTTTATTGGTTGAGGGGCAGTGTGCTTTTGCTGGCAAGAGGGGAGGTCTCTGGAAAAATTTTGGTGGGAGCTGCCGAAAAGGGCAAACACCGGGGAGTGTATTTGTGTGGGGTTTCTCTCCGGTTTCAAGGAAGATGGCGAGCCAAGCTCTTTACTGGCCTTGGGACAAAAACTCAAAGCCCTCAAAAAAGGGTCGGGAGGTGGCTTGCCTGTAGATAAATTTAGGTTAGGTTTTTCCTTCTCCCCCCAAAATTTTCTCCACCCTTATGCCTCCAATTTTTTTTTCCTTTTATAGGTAATAAAATTTATTATTTTTTTATTTGCTTGGTCTCTAAGCAACTCAAGAAAAACAAATTGGTCCTTCAACGTTTCCTATTCATATTTGGTCCCTTGTAATTTTGATTTTTTTTTTGTATTTTTGAATTTTTTTGAAAACAAGCAATATCAACGTTAACTCAATAAAAAAAATCAGTGATTGTAAAATTAACGCATTAAAAGTTGAACACGTTCAAAATACCTTTGAAAATTTAATTCTTCTGAAATGACATTGAAAATGCTAAAAACGATGCAAATATATCAGAATGTATTTTTTAGGGGTTTTCATTGTTTTTTTGCTATTTTTTATTTTTTCTGAAAATTTATCAAAAACATAGGTCAAAAATTAGATAGCAACAACAATTACAACTATTAATAGTTAAAGAGAAATGCATAATGAGATTAAGTATTTCGAGAGATAAAAATAACTTAGTCCTTACAAGTGTTCTGAGTCATGTGGAAAATCATTTATCTGGAAATCAAGAAATTTAAGATTTAGTCACTGTAAATTTTAGGATAGCAAAGGTTGATGATGTTGCCTACAAGAAATTATTCAATCTATCAATTCATGATGGTACAATAGAGAAATTGTTTGAAAATAATGACATGTTAATCATTATATTTACTGAATAAAATGTCTCAATTCATCACAATTCCTAAACTTGTTCTGAGCTATATGGAAAATTGTTCATATGGTAATCGAAAAATTTGAGATTCCGTCATTGTGAATTTTGGGATAGTAAAAATTGACGATGTTGCCTACAAGAAATTATTCATTCTATCAATTTATGGTGGTACAATAGACAAATTGTTTTAAAATAATGACATGTTAATTATTATAGTTACTACATTAAAGGTTTTAGTTCATCGCAGTTAAATTACACATAGTTATTTACATGTCTGAATTTGATTTTTATCAATTATCAACCTTACATTATTTTTTAGTACAAGTCATCCAAAATGAGAAAATATTAACAAGTTCCCATTTTAAGACACTTCCTTATCATTATTATGCCTCATAATACAGTTGATTTTTGTTTTCAAGTAATGCTTAAAATAGTATAAGATAAATGTTATTTGCATTTATCAATTTTTTAGTAATTTATATATAATGTATTTTTGATGAAATTCTACTAAATCTTGGAGAAAGAAAGGACTCGCAAAAAATGACATTTTTATAGGAAGAGGTCGCATCACCCCTTTGCCAACATGTTCGTTGACCACCATGCCAAACAAGGTCTTCATGATCCCAAAAAATGAGGCATTTGCATGCATAATTAAGCATCTCATGCAGGTCTCATCACCCATTTGCCAACTTGTTCATATATAAACCAGTTAAACAAAGCCTCTACTGCAGATTTTAAGTAGCTTTAGAGGCTCATATATGCAATCGATGAAGAAAAAACCATAATCTGCCACAAATCTGGCATATATCTAGAAATAGACACAAATTGTACGGGCAAGTAACAGATGCTAACATGATGTTGCCGAAGCAAACATAATTTAGTAATTTGTTTGAATTTCTCCCCCGATGATGGTAGCCAACACTCAAGAGAGGACAGCTAACAAAACATGCAAAAAAACAGTTCGATGCGTATGCATGTGCTTGGCTTAACTAGCTTGATTGAATTAACTTATATATATATATATATGGTGATTATTTTTTTTATATAAAAAATTACAAGTAGGGAATGATCTGTAGGCACCACCTGCTGTCGTTGCTGTAAACAACGAGCTAAGTTATTGTTTACAGGCCGCAGCACTGCATTTATAGAGATAACCCATCACGATATTATCTAATTCTTTGACAAATTAATCTCCATATGATGAAGATGCTTAGGGTTGCCTTTTTCTATTGTTGTTGTCGTCGTCATTAAATCAATTATTATTATTGTCTTTTGATTTGTTTTTAGAAGTCGGTCTTTGGAAATTTAAATATTGTAATAAACATATTGTCGTATGTACAGTCCATTTATTAGTTTTGTTTGATTTTAAAATTCTTGTCCTAGTAATTTAATTAAGATGGTTTGAATTTTGATCTCTCTCTTAATTTCCTAACTTCACGTCTTGAGACTATCATTTGAAGATATATATATATATGAAGCTTGTGAACTTAGTTATCATTGATATTAAAGAATAAGCTGAGGCTTAATTTTATTAGTTGAAGATAAGATCTTGAGTGGAATACATATCCTTTTTTTGCCTAGTTTCTACTAAAGTATTCCAAGTTCATTTATAATATGCTTTGGTCATGGTCAGTTGTCTCAAAATTAATGTCGTTTATAATATAATATACCTTAGTACTTTAGTACAAAGGTCAACGATTGATTTTGGATCGTGTATTTCTCTACCACAATTAAGAAATCCCTCCTGTTTTCAATTATTATAGTTGAAAAATATTGTTGAGCATATCATACAAAATCTAGATTCTTAGTAGTTCTAGGATATGCATAAACCTTTACAATTAGTCAAAAATTAAAGACATCAATCAGTCAAGAATTAAAACAATTTAAAAAAAAAGAATTAACAAAATCATAAACATCTGGTTATATATGGTTTTACACCAGTCATGTTCGTGAAATAACATCCAGTTACTGTTTTAAAGGGATAGTTGGAATAAAAAAATATGTTTTTATTTTAAAATAATAAAAATTTATTTTAAGCTGTTATGATTATAGGATATTTATGTATGGTTAATTTTAATCATTTGAATTACTCCATTCAAGTTTGGCATAATATATAATATGGATTTAAGCTTCCATTTGAGTTCAACTCATATTTATATTAATATTCTTATGAGATAATATATTTATATATATTCGATTAATTTCATTATATGTTGAATATTATTCGAACCCATTTCATTTCATGTGGTTATAAAAGCACACTAATGACTAATCTTGTCAAATGTTAGGCATAACATAACATGATCTAGGTTTCAATGATATCTATATAACTTTTCTTAAAATTGAGTTGGAAGCATCCCATGAAAGGCAAAACTACAAAAAATAAAAATTACAAAGTCAAATTTTATATTAACAAAATTTAATTCAAAATAAAAAGCATGATGATCATGCTTGAAATGTGAAAAATACCAAATAAAAATTAAATTGAAAGAAAATTCAAACCCTATATATAAAATAAAATAAAATAAATAGCAATTAAATAAGGATTAAATTTTATATAAAATAAAATAAAATAAGATAAAGCATTAAGGAACACAACTGAAAAAATAATTCAACTAAGAGAATTATATAAAATATCAAGAGATGCAATTGAAAAGATAACTCAATTACAAACATTATATAAAACATTGAGAGATATAATTGGAAACACAATTCAATTAAGAGAATGATTAACAAATCAAAATTCATCAGAAAAATAGGGATTAAATATGAAAGTGAAAAAAAATCAAATAAGGATATCAATTCTATGAATTATTTAAAATAAAAAATAATAATAAAAAAACAAGTATCAATATAACAGAAAAATAAAATCAAAGGGCTACTTTAAAAATATACAGGGAAAGACTTTAAAATCTCGGAGGAGAGATGAAAGAAAAAAATAGTCATCAATGCAAAACTTGATATATTTTAGCCACACACACCAACTATTAATGAAGGAGACACCATGAGGATTAAGATGTTGTGAAGGAAGTTAGAGTTTAATCATCAAACAACATCGCATTTATCATTTAAAGAACACAAGTTGTCGCAACTTACATTTTAAAAATAAATAATATTTTATATATATTAAAATATTAAATTATCCCTAGTTAGACTCAATAAAAAAACAAAACAAAATAAAATCATAAAAAAAAAACAAAAAAATTCCTCATTGATCCAAGTATAAGGCAATTTGATGCTAGGAATATTTTGATAATTATATTCTCCTTGTGAAATAGAGAAGGAATAATGCCCCCGCTGCTGGTGCATTATTTTTAACCTCAAAAGATACATCAGTCTTTTTGCTATGCAGACATAAACAAAAAGATGATTATACCCCGCTGCCAAGACCAATAATGATTTATTGATAAGGACAAAATCATAATTTTATAATCCAGTCTACAGTTCCAATATAAAGCTACAGTAAAATAACTACAGCAAAACCTCTGCCGTTTTGGTTTCTTTTAATATGATGGTGACATAAATTTATGTGTGATCTCTGCAAATTGTTGGCAATTAAAGCACGGAATTTGCATAGGGAGTTTAGTTTTTTTCCTGAGATGTTCTCTAAAATTATGCATTTCCCTTATTTTAAAGATGCAATGCACGTAAAATGGGGACCTGAAAGTGAACGTTGAAAACAAAATAGTAATTAATAATAGATTGATAGAGACAGAAATCTCATATAAAGAGAGAGAGGGAAGCTGAGAAAAAGCTAAAGCCACAAGAAACGCAAGATCCTGGATATCTTACACTGTTCATGTAAAGAAAACTGACAGCTGAAAAGCACAGATCAAAGTGCTGTCTCTCATACTTTCCAACGTTGCACAAAAGACACTCACAAAGGTTAGTACTATTCTCTCTTTCATTACACAACTTCTTCGGCTGGAAATGGTTTGTCTTGGCTGCATGGCTTGTACGCAGTTGATGGAATTTCGGTTGGTTGGTTCTCTGCTTTGCTGTCAGTGTTTTCGTTTTTCTTCTGCTTGTCAAGGGAGAGAAGGGAAGAGGATTTTCTGTGTGTTAATGCAGTTCTTCTGGTTGTTTCTTTTAGAGTCGGTGTTTCTTGACCATTCCTACATTTTCTCAGCAACCAAGCAGGAACAGTAGGTTATGGGTTTGTAAGTTTTGAATCATGGAAAGAATTTATCATTGTCATTTTTGGTTTTTTCAGTGAGCATCCAGAAATCTTCATTCCTTTCTTTTGAGAGAATTGACTATATTTATTGTCATAACCTGACTTTTAAATTCAGCACTAAAAATTTTTCTTTGAACTATATACTTAGAGATGAATCACATTTTGACCGGATCCATTACTTCCACGGTGTGGTTGCTGAGAAAACTAAGGATAATTACTCTGCATCCCCTGGAAATGATTAGATCGTTTTCAACCAGGTCATGTGGCTGTTCTAGGCCTGTGGTCCCAGCTAATGAAGACATTATTGTTTTACTTAAATAAGCATGTGATGTATCGTTTTTCTTACTTTGAATGTTTTCTTGCATTGTTTATGGAAAACAATAGAAAATTAGAGTATTTCATCCCTTATCTAAGATAAGTTCACCCCTAGATAGTGCTTGAACTATAAGTTTACTGATCACATAAAAGGAAAAGGTTGGATTTGAAATGTTAGAATTCATTTCTTACGGTATCAATCATGAATTTTTAGTTGGTGGCATCTTTTTCCCTCTTGTAGAAAGATTTTTGAGCCTCGAAAATCGGAGCTGTCGAGCCAAGCTGGGAGATGATTGGAATGGAATTTGGATAGCATCGTTAGGCTTAGTGAAACTCCTCTCCCTCATAAAATATGATAAAAGTCTATTAGAATGGTGGAGGGAAAGGGTGGTTTACTAGTTTATTTATTTGTTTTGTTTATTGTTGCTTAATCTACAACTTGATAGTTCTCTTCCAAATCATCTTTAATTTTTTAATAAGGAAAGGTCATACACGCTTGTAGGCTTTGTTGGTATCAGGTGCCATAATATTTGCAAAATTCATTGTGGTGTTGGATGGTTCTGAATTTTCTTCCATGCTTCATATTAATTTATGTTCTTGAGTATCAGAGACAGCTTTCAAAGTGTCCATATATGGGCATTAGAGACTGTGTTGGTATGTCACAAGTCTAGTTTAAATGGCAGCCGCGTGCATGGCTTCACTGGTGGCCTGACTGTGAGGTTGGAGAATATGTAGGTGGTATTTTGTAGACCTATCATACAAATTCTCATAGTATTATGCTGATGCTTCTCATAGGATAATGAGTTTTTCCTCTTTTCTTACTGAAGAGATAGCCGTAAAGATAGTTATAACCATTCTTGTCCTGAACTTCGATAATTTGTGAATCAACTGGCCTCTGAAATCAATCCGTTGAATCTTGAACTGCTTAACAGAACCTTGCTTATCTTTGAAGCCCGATGTCAGTGTGTACTAATTATTAGCTGACGTCTTGGATATGGTTGAGTAACTTTCATGTCAACATTAAACTTAAGCCCATATCTGCAACCAAAATAACTGATGCATTTGCATGTTGACTAAATAGTACGGTTCTGCTTTAAATATAATGTCAGCTTGTGCCTATATTTGCCAAAAATGCTTGGTTTATTGGATGATTAGAGTCTATTCCCTTTACCAGCTACTGTCATAATAATAATCTTTCTTGGAAATAGTGGATTAGTTTAAATTTCGATGGGAAATTATAACTGATCATGACTAGATTTCTGTCTTCGTTTTGTGTTCTTGGTCTCAGTGATTGAAATTTGACCGTTTATCGCTGCACACAGTTACTGTTGGTGGGAGAAACCACTTGTGGTGGCTTTGAAACACTCGGAGGGGATAAAACACACTCTTTTATTTCAAGAACAAAGCTTACAATAACATAAACAAAAGCTTACAACAACCCCTCTCTCTTTCTCTCTTTCTCTCTAGTGTTTCTCTCAATCTCTCCACACATAATTGCATAAGCTTAGCTATCTATTTATACACGAAATCAAAACAAGAAAATTCAACCTTCAAGTGTGAAGGCGGTTTTTGGCCGACGGTGTGAAAGCGGCTGGCGGCTGGCGGCTGGCGGCTGGTGGCTGGGCGGTGACAGCTGGTGGCTGCCTTCCTAGACCTTCTGGATTGAGTTTACTTCAACAAATCTCCCCCTTAAACTCAATCGAGGGATGTCATGCTAAGCATGAACTTCATTCTCATAAATGTTTCTTCCTTCAATGGCTTTGTATTTTTGCACTTCTTCTTTTGCATTCTTCTTTGTCTTGTAGACCCATTTGACACCTATTGCTTTCTTGTTTTCTGGTAGATAAGTCAGCTTCCACGTATCATTCTTCTCAATGGCATGTATTTCTTCATCCATTGCTTTTATCCACTTCTCTTCTGTGATAGCTTCATTGAAGCTAAGTGGGTCACTATCTGCAAAGAAACAAAATAGAGTTGTATCTTCCATTACTTGAGTGGCGTCATACAGCTCTTCTAGATTTCTCATCCTTCTTGGTCCTTCTGATGAGGATGCTGATGATGGTTCTGATGATGATGGTGTTGATGATGATTCTGGCGTGTTTCTCCTGTTGAATACAGGAAATCTGTGTACCGGACTTTGTGGCTCATCTTCTAGTACTATCGGACCTTCTGCAAGTACTGTTGGTACTTCTTCGTCTTCAAGGATCAAATCAATGTTGATCCATTTGACTGCTTCTTGGTCATCATTCCATTGCCAAGTTTTATCTTCTTCAAAGATAACATCTCTGCTCATAATTACCTTCTTGGTGATGGGATTATACAGCTTGTATCCCATTCTTCTCTCACCATATCCGACAAAGATGCATTTCTCACTTTTATCATCGAGTTTGGTCCTTCTTGCATCTGGGATCTTTGCATATGCCACACAACCAAAGACTCGAAGATGAGTAACACTTGGTTTGTGACCACTCCATGCTTCTTGTGGAGTGACAGCTTGCAAACTTCTGGTTGGGCAGCGGTTCAGCAAATATACTGCACATGATACAGCTTCAGCCCAGTATTGCTTGGGCAGCTTCTTTGCTTTGAGTAGACTTCTTGCCATATCAAGAATTGTTCGATTCTTCCTCTCAGCTACACCATTCAGCTGTGGTGTATAAACTGGTGTTGTTTGATGTCTGATGCCTTGTTGTGTACAAAATGCTTCAAAGTCATTTGCTGTATATTCTCCACCTTGATCAGATCTCACGGTTCTGATCTTATAGCCACTTTGCTTCTCAACAATTGCTTTAAAATCTTTAAAACAATTAAACACTTCTGACTTCCTCTTCAAAAAATATACCCATGTCTTTCTGCTAAAATCATCAATAAAAGTGAGGAAGTACCTATTTTGTCCAGTCGACATAGGCTTTATAGGACCACACACATCTGTGTGTATTAACTCTAGTGGCTCGTTTGCTTTCCAGTTGACTTCTTTGGCAAAACTGGATCTGTGATGTTTGCTGAGGACACAACTCTCACAGACTTCTTCTGGATGATCAATGTGGGGCATACCTTTGACCATCTTCTTGCTTGCTAGCATCTTCAGACTTGTGAAATTCAGATGTCCAAGCCTCAGATGCCAAAGCCATTCTTCACTGTTGGTGATGGCACTCAAACACTTTGCTGCATCATATTGGATGTTTAAAGGAAACATCCTATTCTTGGACATTTCCACATAGGCAATTAATCTCTCATTGTAGTCTGTAATTGTCAGATGACAATTCTTCATGTAAAGTGTATAACCTTTCTCCAGAAGTTGACCTATACTCACCAAGTTCTGTTTTATATCTGGGACATAATAGACATCGGCGATGTAGCTTTGATCGCCATTCTTCAACTTGATTGGGATGTTGCCTTTACCTTTGAATGGAACTTTTGAGGTATCTCCAAAGGTGACAAAACCTTGTATGGTCTCATCTAGATCACCAAATAAATCTCGTTGGCCACACATATGATTGCTGGCTCCAGAATCAAGATACCAAATATTCTCTTGATTCTTGTCAAGTCCTTGTTGGACAAATAATGCAGCTGCTCCTCTATTGTTGGCATCCTCTTCTGCATAGTTGACTCGCTCATGTATCTCTAGTGGAGCTTTCTTTTGACATTCAGTGCTATAGTGGCCAAATTGATTGCAATTATAACACTGAATATTCCTCTTGTCACGGTTATTGTAACCGCCTCCTCTTCCTCTAGGAGTGAATGCTTGTTGTCCTCGACCTCCTCTAGTGGTGTTTCTACCACCTCTTCCTCTAAAACCTGTATTCCAAGAACCTCTGCCTTGAAATCGTTGAAATCCTCCTCGTGTTTGTTGACTTCTTCCTCGAGTGGTGTATCCACTTGTTGAAGTCTCCCCTTGCTCATATCTGTCTTTGAGAGACAACTTTGCTTGTAAGGCATGCTCAATTGCCTTATCTCCATTTCTTTTTACAATTTTCTGCTCATGAGCTTGCAAAGAACTCATAAGTTCATCCACTGTTAACTTGTCCACCTCTTTGGACTCTTCAATAGCGACAATAACAAAATCAAATTTTGGATCTAGGGATCTCAAAATTTTCTCAGTAATTCGAGCATCTGAAAGGGCTTCTCCGTTTCTTCTCATCTGATTGACTATCACCATAATTCTTGTGTGATAATCAGAAATGGATTCTGAGGACTTCATTTGTAACAATTCAAATTCACCTCGTAAAGATTGGAGACGAATCTTCTTTATTCTGTCAGCACCTTTGTATTTTTGTTGGAGAGCCTCCCATATTTCTTTTGATGTTTCTGCGGAAGCAATGATTTCAAATGTCGCTTCATCAAGACCTTGATAAATGATGGTCTTTGCTTTGTTGTCTTTTTTTCTATTGGCTTTGAGGACTTGCTTTTGTACCTCTGGTAAAGCATCTTCTGATTCTTTCGACTCTGGTTCATCATAACCATATTGCACAATGTCTATACACTCTTGTGAACCAAGGAATGCCTTCAATCTGATGCACCAACTATCATAGTTGTCTTTGGTTAGCTTCGGGATGAGTGTTTGTGCACTTTCTGTAGTCATTTTGCTCTTTAAATGACTATATCACCTTTTTGGGAGTTGAATTTGGCAAAACCGACACCGTAGATGGATCCGGAATGGTCCAAATAGTAGGGAACCGGTCTGACTTTGTAGAAAACGGGTCAAAAATGAGGAGAACCGGTCCAAAAACCAATTCGGGTGGTTTGCTGGGTTGAACCGGGAATATTCCAAGGAATATTCTTTTTTGACTTTGACTTTAGAATATGGCTCGGAGCTTGGCTTGGCTTCGGAATATGGCTTGGAGCTCGGCTCGGCTTCGAAATATGGCTTGTGGCTCGGCTCGCGACTCGGCTTGAGTCTTGGCTCGGCGCGGCTCAAATATGGCGCGCGTGTGGCTCACTCGTCTTCTTCCTCGGGGCGCGTGGGCTACAGTGCTGAAATTTCAGACGGAGAGTGTGGTCCACCCCGTGCTCCGATTGATCTGATTTTTGCACCGTTGAGTTCGTATTGATGAGCTCTACACTTTGGAATGATCAAAACTTGTTTTTGACAACTTTGAAAATTCGGATATTTCCCAAAAATACCTCTGTTTTCTGACGAACGGGGCTCTGATACCAATTGTTGGTGGGAGAAACCACTTGTGGTGGCTTTGAAACACTCGGAGGGGATAAAACACACTCTTTTATTTCAAGAACAAAGCTTACAATAACATAAACAAAAGCTTACAACAACCCCTCTCTCTTTCTCTCTTTCTCTCTAGTGTTTCTCTCAATCTCTCCACACATAATTGCATAAGCTTAGCTATCTATTTATACACGAAATCAAAACAAGAAAATTCAACCTTCAAGTGTGAAGGCGGTTTTTGGCCGACGGTGTGAAAGCGGCTGGCGGCTGGCGGCTGGCGGCTGGTGGCTGGGCGGTGACAGCTGGTGGCTGCCTTCCTAGACCTTCTGGATTGAGTTTACTTCAACATTATCTTTGCGAGTTTGTAAAAGGCAGCACATAATCAAGCTCAGTCATTAATTCAATCTATAACTTTGCAAATTACTAGGTGGTGTTTTCAAGTAGTACAATTGGCATGATCCTGCTGATTGCCAAGAATTCTTATGAGTGACTGGTGCTAGTTGTCTTCATGGGTTGCTACCTTTCAAAGAGAACTAAAAAGACACCTGGGTACGAGGAGCCAACAGTTCTTGCTGCTGAAACACCCTGTGAGTATGCTTTGTCAAAAGGCTCATTGTTGCAAATTCCTGGGTGTAAATTGCCCCGCTTACTTCCTAGCTATGCTTCAATATGTTCCAGCTATTTTTCGACAAGTGTTGTTTCTAGTCTTATCTTGGGACATTTTAGTAGGTAATCACTATCGTGCAGATTAGTTGTCAGACATGAAGTTCAGTTTGTTGAGTGTATAGTACATGGAATGGTTTGTGTAACCAGCCTTCGGTGTGGTTGGTCACTAAAACAAAAGACAATTTTATTGGAACTGAAAGGCATGAGAAGCATGGAAGTCATGTTGTCAGGGAAAAGGAAAGAAAGAAAAACAATAAAGCTGTTCCTAATCACTAGTTTGAGTTTCAGCTAGATACTGCTCGCCTATTTTGATTGTATTTCCTGCTAAAAATATTATTTGGTATCAAGTTCAAAAACAACTGTTAACTATGTGAGACTGACTGATGAAATGTGAAATAATTTTGTATTGCAGTTGCTGTTAGCGAAGTAGAGGCCTTGTATGAACTCTTTAAGAAACTAAGCAGTTCAGTCATTGATGATGGGCTTATTCACAAGGTATGGGTATTCGGTGGGATTTTGAAGTGGTTTATGGAGTATTTTGATCTAAGTATGTTTACAATTAGGACTTAATTAATTTGTGCTGATATCATTCAAATGGCTCTTTCTTCTCATCAGGAAGAACTTCAGCTTGCACTATTCAGGAACAAAAACAAGAGGAACTTTTTTGCAGACAGGGTATGTAGTGCAACCTTTTTCCTATAATATAGCAATAGTTACCTGATTCCATGGCATTTTCCCTTTTTCCTAAGTTGCATCGCCTTGCCATACTTCTGCAGATTTTTTATTTATTTGATGTCAAGCGCAATGGAGTAATTGAGTTCGGAGAATTTGTTCGATCTTTGGGTGTCTTTCATCCAAATGCACCAGTTGAAGACAAGATCCATTGTACGGCTAATGTTTTTCTAGGATGAAATACAAGTAGGAATGAGTTCTCACACACATGTTTTCTTTTGCATGTCAAGTGGGACTTCTATACACCATAAAAACTGGAAGTTAGTCACTTAACCATTTTTTGCACATGCTACTGAATAAATTACTAATGAGTGGAGAATTTTCGGCAGTTGCTTTCAGATTATATGATTTACGGCGAACTGGTTTCATTGAACGAGAAGAGGCGAGTACTGCAATTCTTTTCTATACCATTTCTCTCTTACATACCATATAGCGATGCATGCTGATGATTCTGGGCATGTTTTAGGTTTATTGTTTTGTTCTTTCTGTTAAAAATTCCCCATTACTAATCCAGAAGTGGCTATAGTTTGACAATACATACCATCTGAGAATTAAGAGGAATGTAATGAAAATCAAAATAATGATCCAGCATTGTATATCTGTTTCCGAATGTGAACTCTGGCTCATAATTATAAGTTATTCAACAGTTGAAGGAGATGGTAATGGCACTTCTGCATGAATCGGATCTACTGCTGTCCGATGACTTTGTTGAAACAATTGTGGACAAGGTACAATTTTTTTTTTCTGTGTCAAACTTCCTTGTTCATGCTTATTCGGTTCACTATTCTAATTTTTGTCTTTTGAGTTTTTCCACAGACATTTTGTGATGCAGATTTGAAAGGTGATGGAAAAATCGATCCTGACGAGTGGAAGGAATTTGTGTCGAAGAACCCTTCTCTTATAAAGAACATGACTCTACCTCATTTAAAGTGAGTAGCAAGTTCACTCAGTTTGTGAATTGTGCACAACCTGGTTACTATAGTGAGATCAGTCTAGAATGTAGCTCCGAAATTCAAGTTATTAACTCTAGGCACTTCCGTTTATTTCGTCCAGGGATATAACTTTGGCGTTTCCCAGCTTCGTGTCAAAAACTGAAGTTGAAGATTCAGAAATATAGCAGAAAGTTATCAATCATGTCATTTCTAGCTCTATTCGGGAGATGTTGGAATTTGCATGAGCGTCGATACAAGAGCTACACAGACTTCAGGTTAATCACAACCTCCTCAATGCAGCCAAGATCTGGTCTGCAGGGTGCAACTTATTTGCCATCATAAACTTCGTTAATGCAGAATTGGCACAGCTTAGTTCAGCTCACGTTTTGCATGTGTAAATTGCATTACAGCATCAGAAATTTTGCAAAGTGTTTAGAAAATGTATATAGTTTCTGGGGTGGTACTTGGAAGAAGTCTGTTTTAACAGTTATTTCTCTTTGAAGCAACACTTGACCTGTTCTATATATCCTAGTGATAAAAGTTTCAAGCATGTTCAATGCTTACAAATTATTGTATGATAAGAAATGAAATCTGTCGAATATGGTTGAATGATCGACTGTTGAAGGGCCCCAGATTTTTTAAATCTATTGGTGTTCAAATATTTCTGTAATTGCTTCAAGTTTACAATGGAATATGTTGTGTGTGGTCTTGCACCACGTGATGGTAGGACCACCATATTGATTGAGGAGAGAGGTAGCTGATCCTTTTTAAAAATTAAATGGTTCGGGTACTGTAGCGGCAGTGTGAAATACAGAAGAGAAGAGAAAAAAACCGAGAGAGAAAAAGAGAAGAAGAGGCAGCAGAGCAACCTATGTTCTTCCTTTGATTTTTAGCTCGTTTACCGTTGAATCGGGCTGAGGTTTTGACAGAAACTTCTAGACACGTTACTCTTCATTTCGGACAGTTGCATCGAAGATTGGTGGTGTGGAAGCTAGTTGTTTTGATAGAAAACGGGGCTGTCAGTATTGTGAGTTTTTCTCAAATAATTCTCCTTTAATCTTGTTGTAATCCAAGAATAAGTTGTTCTTGATGATATATATGTTGTATCCCTTAGTTGAATCTGAGGAAGAATAATTGTGAACCCATTATTTGTTGATAGTGGAAGTTTTTAGGTGGACTACGATCCCGTGGTTTTTCCCGTATCGGGTTTTCCACGTTAAAAATCTTGGTGTTGATTTTGTGATTATTTGCATTATATTTGATCATTGTTTGATTCTGTTTTTACTGCACAAAGAGAAAAAGAATTGGGACTTGTGAATTGTGAATTGTGAATTGTATTCCGCTGAATTAATTCGGGTAAATTGGTGTCCGGTTGTTCCTAGTTTTCCTAACAAAGTGGTATCAGAGCCAGGTTGTGTAGATTGAATTTCTTGTGTAGTTAAAATGGAAAAGGAAGATTCAGGCATGATAAAGCTCACTTCCTCAAATTATTTTCTATGGAAAACAATGATGGAGGATCACTTATATTGCAATGATTTGGCTTTGCCGATTGAATGTAAAGGAATAAAGCCTAATGAAATGGATGATGTAAAATGGAATAGGCTTAATAGAAAGGCTACTGCTAATGTTAGAAAATGGGTATCTTCTAAGTCCATTAATCATATTTCTCAAGAACATGACTGCTATACAGTTTGGAAGATGTTGGATAAAACATTTGCTAAGGAGAGTGCACAAAATAAGGTTTTTGTAATTAGAAACCTTGTGAATTTAAAGTATAGAGATGGTGAAGATGCTTCAGTGCATATAAATGTATTCCAAGGGTTCTTGAATTAGCTATCATTGATGAGTCTGGAGTTAGCCGATGAAATGCAAGTACTAATCCTACTGAGTTCATTGCCGGATAGTTGGGAGACTTTGATGGTGTCACTTAGCAATTCTACTCTGAATGGAAAGATCACTTTGAAAACAGTGAAGGATTGTATCCTCAATAAAGAGAAGAGAAGGAAAGGGATAAGCACTTTTGAGTCTCATGCACTTGTTACAGAAAGTTGAGGGAGAAGTCCAAACAGGTTCTCTCACAGCAAGCAAGATAGAGAATTCAGTAATAAAAAAGGCAAATGGAAGCCAAGAGGAAGATCTTAGTCAAGGAAGGGTTTTAAGTGTTATTATTATGACAAGTCTGGGCATATGCAAAAGGATTGCAGAAAGTATAAAGGAGATAAAAAGGGTAAAGATGAAGACAAGAATGAAGAGAATGATACAACTGCAGTTGTATTTGATGGTGATGTTGTCATTGTTTGTGATGATGGTTGTGTTAATCTTGCATGTCAGGATACCACCTGGGTTGTAGATTCAACAGCTTCTTACCATGTTACACCCCGACGTGATTTTTACACATCCTACATTACTGGTGACTTTGGTCAAGTTAGGATAGAAAATCAAGGGATGGCTAGTGTTGTGGGCATTAGAGACATTTGGTTGGAAACCAATACTTGGTGCAAGTTGCTACTCAAAGATGTTAGGCATGTGCCTGATATGCGTCTACATTTTATCTCTACAAATACTCTTGATGAAGAAGGTTATCACAATTACTTTGGAGATGGTAAATGGAAGCTCTCTAGAAATTTCCTAATTGTTACTAAAGGGAAGAAGATGGGTCTCTACATGTCACAAGCCAAAGTGATCAAAAGGGAGGTAAATGCAATTGAAGATTACTCTACTGATCTATGGCATAAGCGGCTTGGACATTTGAGTGAGAAAGGCCTTGGTATTCTTGCCAAGAAGAACTACCTTCCATTAAAAGGTATAAACTTGAACACATGTACTCATTGTTTAGTTAGCAAACAACATAGAGTTGCATTTCAAAGATCACCTTCACATAGAAGATCACATGTTGTTGATTTAGTTCATACTAATGTTTGCTCTATGATTGATAAGTCTCTTGGGGGTTCATTGTACTTTGTTAGTTTTATTGATAATCACTCTAGAAAAATTTGGGCCACTTATTTGAAATACAAAGATCAGGTGCTTGATGTCTTTAAGGATTTTCATGCTAGAGTTGAAAGAGGAACTGGTAGAAAGCTCAAATATATTCGAGCTGATAATAGTAGTGAATACAGGGGTCCTTTTGAGAAGTACTGCAGGGAACATGGTATCAAGTTGGAAAAGACAGTTCCTAAGACTCCACAGCAGAATGGAGTGGCTGAGAAAATGAACAGAACCATTATTGAAAGAATTAGATGTATGCTCTCTTATGCAAAGCTGCCAAAGTCCTTTTGAGGTAAGGCAATGAAGATTGCAGTTGCCATGATCAACCTTTCTCCATCAGTTCCTCTTGAATTTGATGTTCCAGATAGAGTTTGGAAAGGAAAGGATGTTTCTTATGCACACTTAAGAGTGTTTGGATGCAGAGCATTTGTACATGTTCCTAGAGATGAAAAGTCTAAGCTTGACAACAAAACAAAACAGTGCATTTTCTTAGGCTCTGAAGATGATGAGTTTGGCTATAGGTTGTGGGATCCAAAGGAGAAGAAAATTGTTAGAAGCAGAGATGTTATCTTCTTTGAAGATCAAACCATTGAAGACTTTGAACAGAAAGAGAAAACAAAGCCTACTGTTTTTATTCCATCTAATTCAACTCCAAGACCTACTCTACAGTTACCTTTGATGTCTGCTAATCATAAGGGAGATTTGCAAAATGATGATAATGGTGGTTCTCTTATTGAGCCATTAGTTGGTGATCTTGAATCAACTAATGATGATATTGATGTTATTCCTGAACAGATTATGCAGGAAGCTCCAAATGAGCTACAATTGAGAAGGTCAACTAGACTTCGCCAACCTTCCACCAGATATTCTCCTCATGAGTATGTGTTGGTCACTGATGGGGGAGAGCCAGAATGCTTTGATGAAACTATGTCACATGAGAAGAAAAGTGAGTGGTTGAAAGCAATGCAAAAAGAGATGAAATCCTTGCATGAAAATCATACCTTTGAGTTAGTGAAGCTTTCTAAAGGGAAGAGAGCACTCAAGAACAAATGGGTTTTCAGGTTAAAAATTGATGAGCATTGCTCACATCCAAGAAATAAGGCAAAATTGGATGTGAAAGGTTTCGGTTAGAAGAAGGTATTGATTTTGAAGAAATTTTTTTACTAGTGGTCAAGATGTCTTCAATCTGAGTTGTGCTTGGCTTAGCTGCTAGTTTGAATCTTGAAGTTAAATAACTTGATGTGAAAACTACATTTCTTCATGGTGATTTGGATGAGTAGATCTACATAGAGCAGCCTAAAGGGTTTGAAGCAAAAGGCAAAGAGCAGCTAGTTTGTAAGTTGAAAAAGAGCTTATATGGGTTAAAGCAAGCTCCAAGACAATGGTATAAGAAGTTTGATTCTTTCATGGTGGATTATGGTTATGACAGGACCACTTTTGATCATTGTGTATTTATGAAAAGGTTTCTAGATGGAAACTTTATTATTCTCCTATTTTATGTGGATGATATGTTGATTGTTGGCCATGATGCTAAGAAGATTCAGATGTTGAGGAAGAGTTGGGCAAGTCTTTTGCAATGAAAGACTTAGGACCAGCAAAACAGATTCTTGGCATGAAGATCACACATAATAGGAAGAAGGAGAAACTTTGGCCATCTCAGAGAGATATATTCAAAAGGTACTTGAGAGATTCAACATGAGTAACTCCAAACCTGTTTGTTCTCCATTTGCAAGCCACTTTAAACTAAGTTCTAAGTAGTGTCCTTCAAGTGATGAAGAAAAAGATGAGATGAAAAAGGTTCCTTATGCATCCGCAATTGGTAGTTTGATGTATGCCATGATTTGCACAAGGTCGGATATAGCTCATGTAGTTGGTGTGGTTAGTCGATTCCTCTCCAATCCTGGTAAAGAACACTAGTCAACAGTGAAATGGATACTCAGGTATCTCAAAGGTACTTCTAGTTTCAGTTTATGTTTTGGTAATGACAAACCTGTGTTGGATGGATACACAGATGCAGATATGGCTGGTGATGTTGATTCTAGAAAGTCCACATCAGGATACTTGATGAAATTTGCAGGGGGAGCAGTCTCATGGCAATCAAGGTTGCAAAAATATGTTGCATTATCCACTACAGAGGCCGAATATATTGCTCTTACTGAAGGGGGCAAAGAGTTGTTATGGATGAAGAAGTTCTTGCATGAACTTGGCCTAGTTCAAGAGAACTTTGTATTGCACTGTGATAGTCAAAGTGCAATCCATCTCAGTAAGCATCCTACTTTTCACTCTCGATCAAAGCACATTGAGGTTAGATATCAATGGATTCGAGATGCTATGGAGATGAAGTCATTCGTTGTTGAGAAGATCCATACTGATGACAACGTGTCTGACATGATGACCAAACCTCTACCGAGAGAGAAGTTTGAGTTTTGCAGAAAGGAAGCAGGCTTGTTAGAGCCCCCTAAATTGAATTTTACATATTGATCGCCGGTATGGCGAATTCCTCACATGGTGTGTGAGGGGGAGATTTGTTGTGTATGGTC